AACCACTGAACCACATCCCCAGCCCTTCTTATTTCTTATTTTAATAAAACTAAAAAAAAAAAAAATTCTTATTTTAAATAAACTTATGCTAAGTTTCTTAGAGCCTCCCTAAATTGAGGAGGCTGGCCTCAAACTTGTGATCCTCCTGCTTCAGCCTCCTGAGCCATAGCACCTGGCTATCTGAGCATATTTCAAATGATGGATCTTCCTTTCCTCTTACAAGAGCAGGAAGGGACTTTCTTGGACCTTCATCATGAAAATTTGGGAGGATTTTTGAAGGTAAAGTGCACAGTAGTGTGTGGGTCCTGGCTATGCCTCTAGCCACCAGGAGTCTCTCATTCTCATATTATTCCACACTAAGCCTCCAGGAATTTTTCCAATTTGCCATTTAAGTTTATGGCTTCAGCATGTCTTCTGCTTCATATCCCAGCTATGACTCTCTGGACTTGTCTTTCCAGATGGTGAAGGATGGCAATTTGCCCTGAAAACTCAGTTCTCTTTTGAGTTGGAGAAAAGTCATCAATTTTCAGTATGCCCAGCTTTTTCTTGTTGTAAGGACAAGAACGATGCTTCTAAGCTTGTGACAACAGCAACTGAAAGTTGTTAATTTAATTTTTTAATCTTTGCATTCTTATAATTCTCCATCCACCTTATGACCACCTATTCCTAATTTATGAAAGTATTTTCCTTGAATCTTTACTGTAAACACCAAATATTTTCTGAAATTGCCTTTTCTTTTTTTTTTTTTACATTTTTTTTTTTTTAATAATAGAGATCTGTTTTCCTTTTAACTTTTAGAGTAAAAATATTCCCTTTTCCTTGTGCTGCAGAATGTTTTTCAATCTGGAGATCTTGGGTTGTTTGATTCTGAATATTTATCCTAGAAATAAAAGAAATCTCTTTAAATCAGAGGATTATAAACAGATACTATTGTTATTCAGTTCTTAGCTTCTTTGATCTTGACCTTGAGTGGTCTGATTTTAACTCTCTTAGAACCAGATTTTTTAAATATTTTTTTAATTGTCAATGGAATATATATATATATATATATATATATATATATATATATATATATAATCTGAGAGTTGAACCCAGTACCTCACACATGCTAGGCAAGCGCTCTACCACTGAGCCACAGCCCCAGCCCCCTCAGAGCTAGATTTTTTAAAAAAACATTTTTAAGGCAGTATAGGGGATATTGGGGACTGAGCCCATGTCCTTGTGCATGCTAAATTAAACACAGGGGCTGGGGATGTGGCTCAGTGATAAAGTGCTTGCCTGGCATGTGTGAGGCTCTGGATTTAATCCCTAGCACCAAAAAAAGAAAAAAAAAAAAGTTAAGCACAGCCTCTACCATTCACTAAGCTAGATTTTTACTAGACACCAGTGAGCACAAGTTCCAGCCCAACTCACACTACTCATCTGGCATTCATTTAGCATGGTTCCATTAGATTTGCACCAAATCACCTTGTCCTTCTAGTCTTTAGTTCTTGGAAAGTCTGATATAGTCCTTAGTTTGTATGGGTACATTATGTGAAAGACTAAGCCCAGTGTGGTCCCAGGACTGATGTTGCTCTCTGAATTAATACTATCCACCTTAAGATAGGTACAGAAAAGTAGGGAAAGACTTTAGAAATTTTAAAAAAAATTTTTTTTGGTACCAGGGATTGAACCCAGGGGTGCTTAACCACTGAGCAATATCTTCAGCCCTTTTTTGTATTTTATTTAGAGACAGGGTCTCACTGAGTTGCTTAGGACCTTGCTAAGTCGCTGAGGCTAGCTTTGAACTTGCAATCCTCCTGCCTCACACTCCCCAGCCACTGGGATTACAGGTATGTGCCACTGCGCCTGGCAAGACTTTAGAAATTGTTATTGCAATTTGATAGAATAATTTGACACTTGTGGAACTGAATAATAAAACTTTGAGCTTTTATTTTGTATGTCATAGCATTGGGACAATTTGTCTCTCCAATGTATTCACTTTTAAGAATTTGTCCCTGGATATTTATACTAAAACATCCTAAAAAGTCAAAATACCACATTAATTAACAGGAAGCTATTCCGATTATGGAATTAAAGGAAACATTATATTAGTTAACAGGAAATTATTTTGCTACATTCAGTGAAAGGGAATTGAAAGAACTATTTCCCAATCAATCGTGCCACATAAATTTGACCAAATGCACGACAAACTTCTATTATGGTCTTGCACTTTGTTTTACATTTGCTTCAATAGGACCCACAGTTTTGGGTATGCATGTCAAAAGGTGACACAAAAGTTGAGATTATTGTGGTAGACCTGAGAATGTCAGAAGCACAGAGGCTGAATGTCATACAAAACTTATGAATTGGAGTAAATGGTAGATCTAGGTGGAATTATTTATTTCAAAAGAGACAGAAAATTTTATGTAGCATGATCCTGATGAATAACCAATAACAGATTGAGGAGTAGTATCTACAAAAACAAAACCCTGGATTTCCCTTTCCGGAGCATGGCTTTGATATATTTGAATTTTGTGGCTAACATAGGACTCATAAATTTGTTAAGTAATGAGCTGGCCCACCAAGTTGTACGAGATGTAGGTCAAAGTAATATTTGCGTATTTCATGACAAATGTTGTTCAATTGAAGAATCCCTGGAAGAATTTGACTCTTAGGGATAAATTGTTCAATTGATCATGTTTGAATTGATCATGTTTGAAATTGCTGAGGCAGGCTTTGAACTTGTGATCCTCCTGCCTCAGCCTTCCAAGTCACTCAGATTACAGGCGGGCCCCCCTGCACCTGGCAGAGTACTGCTTCCTATAATTCAATCAGATTCAGGTGATAAGAGAGAGCCAGATGTTCTTTTTCAGCCCAATAGAATGTGTACCAGTATTTATGAGACCTTGCTTTAGGGGTGACACAGGAAAGGAAGGCCACTGGACAGCTAACCTGGACCTGGAATTTGGGGTGCCCATTAACCCTTGTTCACAGGCCTAGAAAAATGGTTCTCAACTGGAAGCAATAGTCCCCCTGGGGGACATGTGGCAATATCTGGAGACATTTTTTGGTTGCCACAACTAGGAAGTGAGGAGTTGCTACTGACATCCAGTGGGCATATGCTAGCAATGCTGCTAAACATCCATCAATGCGTAGGGAAGCCCCTTCCCCAGCAAAGAATTCTATGGCCCCCAATGTCACTATTGCCTAGGTGGAGAAACTCAAATTTATCCTCCTCAACACTGCACAATGTTTTACCACTGAACAAGGAGGAACAAAAATATGCATGTAGTCAAGGTCACATCCCTAAGGATTCTGATTTTATTGGTCTGGAGTAGAGTCCGAATATAAAGGTCCCCTGGAGGCCTTTCCAGGATTGAAAACTACTCCCTAGAGAGTCTGGTCTGATAAAAGCCTTCACCTCCCCAACTTTCGTGGGACTTAAAAAGGGCTGTTGGCTCCTTGAGGAGGTATCAGCAAGCAATAGAAAGAATTTCCCCCAGACACTAGCATAAGATGAAAGTTCAAGGCCAGGGGCTTTTGTGAGAATTAGGAAAGGCATCCCTTCTGGATAAACACATTCAAAACCTTCTGTGCTTCCAAGGGCCTTGACCTAGCTAAGGACCCAGACAGCTGTTACAAAGAGAAAGATGTATCTCTACAGTGGATGTGGTCCCTGTCAATGCACCCAAAGGCAGATGGATTTTGGCTCTCTCTTATCCTTTCCTCTTGGAGCCTTTGGGCAGGGCCTGAACTGTATAACTTAATGTAGCAGCCCCCATTGGAATTTGCCTTAGTTAAGGACTCTCTGGCTGGGAGTTGTGGTTTGACTGGGTTGGGGGGGGGGGGGGCTAAGGCAGGAGGATTGCAAATCCAAGGCCAGTTTCAGCAACTTACCTAGACCCTCAGCAAATTTGAGACTCTCTCAAAATATAAATAAATGAATGAATGAATGAATAAATAAATAAATAAATAGAACTGGGGGTGTAGCTCAGTGGTAGAGTACCCCTGGGTTCAATCCCCAATATGAAAAACAAACAAAAATCAAAACAAAAATTATTTCTCTGGGGCAGCAAAGTAGCACAGAACTGCCTTATGGGTTTACCAAAAACACAACAAAAATAAAAACTGTGGAGAGGCTTTCTCAAATGCCTCTAAGAAACCAAATCCATGCTGGGGGCAGCCTAGAAACCCTATCCTGACGCCAGGCCACAGGGTGGAGACTCTGGGCTGGTCCTGATGTCCTTGGGGTGGCTGAGAACAACCCAGGAAATATGGGGGATATGGCTTCGGGATACTGCAGCTGGATCTCTGAGGATGAGACAGGGAACTTTCTGTGCTTTGTACTCTGTCCCATCAGCTGAGCCTGGAAGGAGAGCCTTAGGTCCCATCCTAAACCACAGCTCGGCGGCGCAAACCGAGCCCCGCCTGAGTCATTCCTTTGCAAAAGAGAAGCAAAAAGCCCTGTAGCATCAACTTTGTCGCTGGCCTATCTGCACACCTGGGTTCTAATTCCCGCTCTGCCCATGACAGCAGGAACCTAAGCAAGTTTCTAAGCGGCATTTTCTTTTTGGTACGGTGGGCATAATGACAGCGAACTTGGGGCGTGGTCATTAGGGTTAATCAGCGACCTGGCTGTAGTATCCAGCCTCAGTGGGCCACTATGGACCTCTAGGTTGTTACTTCTCTGTGTGTGTGACTCAGGAAGATTTTTGCGCAGACGGCATCATTCTAGAGTCCCAGGATCTGCGAGGCTGTGGAGTCACCAGTGTATATTGCGGGTAAGGGGGACGTGCAAGTGGAGTAAAGAAAGATACTCTTGGAATATTTTGTTGGTTTGCTGGGGCACGTCCCTGGCGATCTCTGGCTCTGGGGCACAGCCTCCTTTCCAGAAGAATCGCTGACACAAAAGGAGCGGGTAGGTGGGTGGGTCGGAGCCCCAAACTGCGCTGTGTTCCAGGGAGGCGGAGGAAGGAGGGCAGTCCCCAGGCAGGAGGGAGGGGAAAGAGGGAGGGAAAAGAGGCGAGAGGAGGAGTTTTCCAGCCCGGCCTTGGCGGGCTAGCAGCGCAGCCCCCAGGTCTGCTCGGTCTCCTGCCGCCCCCTGGAAGCGCGCTGCGCTGCGCTGCGCTGCGCTGCGCTGCTGAGCCCAGCGAAGCGCCCGCTGGCCATGGGGGTCCCGGTACTCCGGTCCGCGCTGCTGCTGCCGCCCGCGCTGCTCCTTCTGCTCCTGCTGCTTGTCCCGCCGAGCCGCGGCTTTCCAGGTAGGAGCCAGAGGTGGGGCTTTCTCCCCAGCTGGACACCAGGGTCCCCGGATCGGCCGCTGGAACCTTTTACTCCTGATCAGGGAGGTGCGGGGGCCACCCTTTGTTTACTCCCAACTCGTCTGTCATAGCCGGGCTCGCGCCTGGGCACCTGGAAGGGAGAGCAGCCTCTCGCTTCGCCAGGCGCGGGGTGCCCTCGCGGCGCCCGGAGTCCGAGCCCGAGCTCCCTTTGCTTCCAGGGTTCCAAAGTTCAAATCACACCCTTGGTCGCATACGAGGCTTCGAAGAGAAAGTTTGGCTGCAGGCTTACTACTTTCTCATCACCCGGCATTTTGCCCCTCACACGGTTGCACACGGCCAGGACTCCGGGCCTGGCTGCTTGCCTGGAAGAAGTCCCTACTCCCTCCCTCTGGAAGTCCCTGGTCTGGGCAGAGAAAGCGATTCCTGTGGACCTCACGGGCGGAGCCTCCCCCGCATCTCTTAACCCCCCCTGCTGGGGATTCCAAGAAAGTCTGCTCCTCTGAGGGAAAGGTGCCAGCTGAGAGTGGTGACATGTGGCATGCACTTGGTTAGCTCCAGGGAAAAGAGGGAGAAGCGCCTAGCTCTACTGGGCAGGGGGTGCGGCTGCTTGTTGAGGGAGGGCGTGGTCTCCAGCATCTAAGGGAATCCTGGGGTTTACTGGGGGCTCTCAGGATGTAGGTAAAATTCTCTTTGGAAATACCCTTTAAAAAGCTCCAGCTAACTTCTTCAACAGTGAGATTCAGGGGAACAGAGCAACTTGCCATGTACCCCTGTGGCCTTGTAATGAAAAGGAAATCCATGCACGGGCTTTTAATTTAGTATTGATGGGAAAGTGGGTGACATGAACTATGAGGCATGTAAATATTTGGCTTTGCATTCATCAACACTGTGGGGTCTGGATGGCACAGGCCTTAATCTCGGTAACTCAGGAGGCTGAGGCAGAAGGATCACAAGTTTGGGACCAGCCTCATCAATTTAGGGAGGCCCTAAGCAACTTAGCAAGATTGTCTCAAAATAAAAAATAAAATGAAAATGAGCTGGGGATGTAGCTCTGTGGTAAAGCACCTCTGAGTTCCCAGCACCAATAAATATTTTAAAAATAAAGTGGGGCCTGAGAAAGAACCTCTCAAATTCTGATAAAATGAGTAAGGGTTCCCAGGTAGATGCTTAGAAGATGTAGGGGATGGCTGCTGGGAATCCTCTGCGTATTCCAAATGAATGAATGTGTAAAACAAATGTGTAGATTAATAAACAGGAACATTTGGGCTCTGAGCTGATGCTTCTAAGTTTTAAGCTTTTTTGTAGGAACTGATGCGGGACAAAGTGGAAAGGTGATCATCCTCAGTGCCAGGCAACTGTGATTCTCATGGTGTGTTGGTGTCCCCACTCCCACCTGCTTTGGCAGGAGTGAGGATAAAATGAACCTTGAGGGGAAGAGGAGGTCAGTAAGTGGACCAGGAGCAGCTTTTGGGGAGATGAGAAGGTGGAACCTTTCACACTGAATTGGGAGGTACCTGTGAGCCACCCTCAGAATCTCAGCTTCTGGCTGAGCCATTCTCAGGCAGGAGTCTCCTCTCCTTTTCAATCAGACCCTAACCCCCCTTGCTCTGCCCTCCCCATTCCTTTCTTTCAGCTTCTACCCTTATATAGTATAGCTTGCTGCCAAGACCCAGCACCCACAAGATCACACATTTGCCAGTTGGGACACTTACTATTCTTTATGTTTTGGGCCTTGCTCCTGGCTTCCCTGGCTCCCTCTGCCAGTCTGCAGGTCCCCTCCACCAGGAGCCACTGTGTTCCTCTTTGTCACCACTTCCATTGATTCCTAACCTGCCCTCTGAGTCTACTCGGACAACAGATGAACTAAAGCCAGCTGGAGCAGCTTGAAATGCACTCCTCTGGGGTATGTTGGGAAATGAGCTCTGCTGGGGCTTTTGAATCCAAAGGAGTAGATTTCAGTCCAAGCCAGAGGTTTGGGAAGGCTGGGGAGGGAGAACTCTCCAGACCCATGGGTCCAGAGGCAGATCACATCCATTGAGTTTACCCTAAGTGTGGGTGACAGATTTTAAAGATCACTTCAGAGTGTACATCATGTCTCTAGTAAGAGAGAAAGTAAGCAGTTTTGAATCTGGAACATCTAAAAGAGGGAGGTAGTGATCCAGGGCCTCATCAGCACCCCAATTATGTAACCATCTGAGCTTTTATAGCAAATCTGTCAGTGAGAATAAATCATTCCCATTCCCACCCCTGGAAGGTCTCTGGAGTTCTTCCATCTTCGAATTTGATGCAGCTTTTCTGGCTCTCTGATTTATTCTTTGCAGCCTAGCAAAGATGCAGTGTCTACCAAAAAAACACAGGAAGTCTACGGAGATTTCCTAGTAAAATTGTGTGTGTTTTGGGGCTGGGGATGTGGCTCAAGCGGTAGCGCGCTTGCCTGGCATGCATGCGGCCCGGGTTCGATCCTCAGCACCACATACAAACAAGGATGTTGTGTCTGCTGATAACTAAAAATAAATATTAAAAAAATTCTCTCTCTCTCTCTCAAAAAAAAGAATCTTTAAAAAAATTGTGTGTGTTTGATTGTGTTTGTATGCTTATGAGAGATGATGGAGGGTTTTGTTTTGTTTTGTTTTGTTTTTCTCATACTGGGATTGAACCCAGGGTGCTCTATCACTGAGCTACATCCTCAGCCCTTTTTATTTTTTATTTTTTAGTTAATTAATTAATTAATTAATTTCACTTTTTGGTACCAAGGATTGAATCCAGGGAGTTGAACTTCCTCTTTCCCTCTCTTCCTCCCTTCCCCACTACTCCTCCTCTACTCTACTGGTCTCCCTTCTAGTTGCACATGGCAGGCATCCCCCACCCCCAGTCCCCTGCCACCTTTCTCTTCCTTTTTCCTCTCTAGCTCCCACATATGAGAGAAAACACGTGATCTTTGACTTTCTGGGTTTGACTTATGCCTTTAACATAATGGTCTCTAGTTCCATCCATTTTCTTACAAATTACATAATTTAATTTTCCTTTATGGATGAGTAAAACTCCATTGTGTATATACACTCCATTTCCTTTATCCACTCCTCTGTTGATGGACACCTAGGCTGGGTCCATAATTTGGCTCTTGTGAATATTGTTGCTATAAACACGGGTACGAATGTATCACTATAGTATGCTGACTTTTTAATTCTTTAAGATAAATACCAAGGAGTGGTATAGCTGGGTCAAATGGTGGTTCCATTTGGAATCTCTTGGGGAACCTCCATCCTAATTTCCATAATGGTTGTACTAATTTACAATCCCACCAACAGTGTAAAAGTGTTCCTTTTACCCATATCTTCAGCATTTCTTATTGTATGAATTATTATTTTTTATTTTAATTGGTACTAGGGATTGAACCCAGGGGCTCTTAACCACTGAGCCGTATCTCTAACCCTTTTTAAAATATTTTGAGACAGGGTCCGGCTAAGTTGCTTAGGGCCTCGCTAAGTTGCTGAAGCTGGCTTTGAATTCACAATTCTCCTGCCTCAGCCTCCCAAGCCACTGGGATTATAGGCATGCGCCACTGCATGTTGCTGAGATGGGAATTTTTTAGACTTTAATTTGTTATATATGACAGCAGAATGCATTATAATTCATATTACACATATAGAGCACAATTTTTCATATCTCTGGTTGTACACAAAGTAGAGTCACACCATTCATGTCTTCATACATGTACTTAGGAATGATGTCCATCTCATTCCACTGTCTTTCCTATCCCCATGCCCCCTCCCTTCCTCTCCCTCCCTATTGCCCTATCTAGAGTTCATCTAATCCTCCCATGCCCACCTCAACCACATATGAATCAGCATCCTTAAATCAAAGAAAACATTCAGCATTTGGTTTTGGGGGATTGGCTAACTTCACTAAGCACTGTATTCTCCAACTCCATCCATTTACCTGCAAATGGCATGATTTTATTCTCTTTTAATGTTGAATAATATTCTATTGTGTATATATACCACATTTTCTTTATCCATTCATCTACTGATGGGCATTTAGGTTGGTTCCGCAGTTCATCTAATATGAATTGAGCTGCTATAAACATTGATGTGGCTGTGTCCCTGTAGTATGCTGTTTTTAAGTCCTTTGGGTAAAGACTGAGGAGTGGGATAACTGGGTCAAAAGCTATCCCATGGTTCCCTTCCCACTTTACCAAGGATTCTCCATACTGCTTTCCATATTGACTGCTTTCCATATTGGCTGCACCAATTTGCAGTCCCACCAGCAATGTATGAGTGTGCCTTTTTCCCCATATCCTCGCAAACACTTATTGTTGTTTGTGTTCTTTTTTTAATATTTATTTTTTAGTTTTTAGGTGGACACAATATCTTTATTTTACATTTATGTGGTGCCGAGGATCAAACCCAGTGCCTCATGCATGCTAGGCGAGCACTCTACCACTGAGCCATAACCCCAGCCCCATTGTTTGTATTCTTAATAGCTGTCATTCTGACTGGAGTGAGATGAAATCTTAAGAGTAATTTTGATTTGCATTTCTCTAATTGCTAGAGATGTTGAACATTTTTTCATATATTTGTTGATTGATTGTGAGATGGGAATTTTGATTGATTCTATTCCTTACTTACATGTGAGATTTTGGAAATTCACTCCACCTCCATCTGCAGAGCCAAAGATAGGGAATGAGCACTGCAGCCACCTAAAAAAGGCTTTCAGAATATTCTTAGGTGGAGAAAACTGGTAAAGTGGCTTTGCTTCACCAGTGAGAAAAACTGAGCAAGATTTGCAAAACACCAAAGCAAATCGTATCAGCCAAGGCAGTCTTCTGAAATGTCACATTTCGAGATAAGTATTAGGAGCAGAACACCTGGCTCAAGCTATACAATTAAAGTCTCACCAGGAGCAGGCTAGAAATTTCTATTTGGGTTTAAACATGTAATCAGCTGACAAAATTACTCTGCAACAGAAAGGAGATGTGT